AGTAGGAGTAGTCGTAGTCGTAGTTTAGTAGTAGTAGTAGTAGTAGTAGTAGTAGTAGTAGTAGTAGTAGTGGTAATAGTAGTAGTAGTAGTAGTAATAGTAATAAAAGTAGTAGTCGTAGTAGTAGTAGTAGCGGAAGTAGTAGTCGTAGTAGTAATAGTGGTCGTAGTAGTAGTAGTAGTAGTAGTAGTAGTAGTAGTAGTAGTAGTAGTAGTAATATGAGTAGTAGTAGTAGTAGTAGTAGTAGTAGTAGTAGTAGTAGTAGTAGTAGTAGTAGTAGTAGTAGTAGTAGTAGTAGTAGTAGTAGTAGTAGTAGTAGTAATAGTAGGAGTAGTAATATGAGTAGTTGTAGTTTAAGTATTAGAAGTAGAGGTAGCCGTAGTAGAAGTAGTAGTTGCCGTCGTAGTCGTAGTTGGAGTCGTCGTCGTAGTAGTCGTACTAGTGTAGTTTTGTTTGGTGCAGCGGCTTACTAATCCAATGGATATGAGAGGAATGGAGCACGTGAGCAGCATCCAACACAACCACCGCAATATATCAGCACCTCCAGTCCTCCAGTCTTCACAGCCTTTCACCTCCAAGGGGGCTGTTGGATTATGTCTTCTTGGCAGAGCTTCGCTTTGTCGGAGTGGCGTACCCATCGGTTCTAGTTCGTTGTAGTTTCGCGGCCCCACAAGTATGAGTCTTCCCGGATTTTGCACAGTTGTCCTTGCCATTGCCCAAATGTGCCTGCCATCAGGCCAGGCCAGTGTATTGACAATTTTTTAAGATGTGCAGCAACAGGGACAATGCCACGGGGAATATGATTGCGATAAGGGTAAAGCAATCGTGCTGTCATTTGGATCGCAGCTGACCGTCGCGAGGCACCGATGGCGCCTGCGTGGCAAGACGTTGACCTCGTCCATCAGGCAGTGCCCCGTCTCCTGTCTTTGCTATCAGAAGTCTGCTGCATTGTTGTCTCGTGATCTCTTGGACAAGATCCTAGTACTACCTTTTCCCTACTCAAGCCCACCAAAGCACACGCTACTTATTGCGAAGGCCTTACGGCTGGTGCCGCCGACCCTGAATGGCGACGACGACTACGACGAGCGCTCTCGGGGGCCACTTGGGGATAGTTTGGGGGCCTCTTGGGAAGCTCTTGGGGGCCGCTTGGAAGCCTCGTGGGGGGCTTCTTGGGGCTTCCTGGGGGTCTCTTGGGGGCTTCTTGGGGCTTCTTGGGGAGCTTCTTAGGGACCTCTATTCGGCTGTCTTGGAGGCCTCTTGGTCGGTCTTTGGGCTCTCTTGGGTTGTCTTTGGGCGTTCTTGGGGGATTCTTGGCTTGTCTTGGAGCGTCGGGAAGCTGACGAGGCGATAATCCCGAAGTTTTTCAAACATTTATCGATGATTTGTGCCCCCTGGGACCATCTTGGAAGTCCTCTTGCAGGCTTCTTGGGGCGTTTTGGAAACCTTTTGAGCCGTCTGGAGGCTACATTGGCGACTTGGACCTATACTTCGGCGATTCGGGGCCCTCGAGGACCGTCTTGGGGGTATCTTGGGGCAGTTTTGCAGTGTCCTGCGGCTTTTCTTGGCCGCCCAGCCGCCCGAGGGGGAGTCGTATTTGACCCCTCAGGACTCCACCCCCGGGACCCCCCCGAGACCCCCCCCGGGACTTCACCCCGGGACCTCACCCCCGGGACCCCCCGGGGAAGGGATCAAAGGGAAGGGGCTTCTTTTCGACTCAACTATAACGTTGCTCAATTTCGCTGTGGCTGGCGCGCTCGAGGAGGAGAACCCAGTGAAAGTGGGGGGATCGGCGACGGGCATAGGGAAAAGGGGGGACGCGAGCGGCGAAGGCGACGACGACGACGACAACGACCGCAACGACGACGACGACGAGTCAACCGGAACCGCTTCTTCCACCCTCCGACAGGGTCGGCGGATTCATGCCTTGGATTTCCTCCCAGGCAGCAGAGCGATATGTTACAATCTTGCCTGCCATCTTGTCACGAGCCCTGGGAGGCTACAGTAATTTGGTTCGCGCCGCATTGACGTGGTTGCGACACCAGCTCAGGCGCTCCAGGTTGAATAGCCGTCACTGGCACGGGATCAGCCGACATCGAAGAATTGGAGCATCGGAAATCCGCCGTCGGTCAAGCTTGAATGACCCTCGCGGTGTGAGACATCGACGCCGACGTCACCGCGACGTTGGCCTGTCGTTGACACTGCCTTGTCAGACGGCGCATGCCCCCTTGCCTGCGCCCGCCAGACGCCTCCCACAGCCGTGGAGGCCCGGGAGCCTCGAGGTCTTGCCTCCTGCAGTCGGGAGGGGGAGGCGGAGGCGGGAAGGCGGCGGCAGAGGCTGGGGCAGGGGCGGCTGCAAAGGGAGAGGGGGAGAGCGCCGCAGAGGGGGCAGAGGGCACGCAGCGGGAGGAGAGGGGAGGGGGGGAGGGGGCATGCAGAGGGCAGGGGAGAGGGAGCGAGCAGGGGGGGGGGGGGCAGAGGCCGATGCAGAGGGCGAGGAAGAGAGAGAGAGAGAGAGAGAGAGAGATATCAGGGGCAAAGGGATACAGTCGGGGCTCTGAATAAGGAATCCTTTTCGTTGGGGAGGGGCTCCGTGTTCCTTCATTGTTTCACATTTTGCCCCAGGTTATCCTTGGATTTTCGATGGGAAGTCGAAGTTGAACTTCTGGAGAAAAGCGGCCTTAGGTCAACGCCCCGACGGTGGGGGGATGCATCGACCCCCAATCGTCCAAAGGTAAAGGGCACCCCTCGTGTCCAGCCCGTCGTGCCACGTGCCCTCGTCATTGCCTGGAGCACGTGCTGCCCTCGCTAGGGACTCGCGTCGGACGAGACGCCGAGGCCAGGTGCGCTGCGTGTGGCCAAGCCAATGGTGGCTGTTGGGAGGGAAATTGGATACAGTCAACCCGCATAGGAAGGATGGCCAATCTTCCCAAGGGTACCCTTGCACCCTTACCTCGTCAGCTCATCCTTGGCCACTTCCGTTGGCCGCGCCCCGCTCGAAAAGCTTCGACGTGGCCTTCCCAGGCCCTTGCATCCTTATCGCGCATCCTTAATATACGGGTTGACTGTATGTCAGGGTTTTTTCAACACTGCGACTCCAGAGGCCAGAGGTCAGGGATGGGAGCGGAGGCAACGGTCAACGCCGGTTCTGGTGGGAAAACAGAGGGGGTCAGGGGCTTTTTGAAGTGCGAGCCCAAGGCCAGGGGCGTCAGGTGTGGAGGGTGTCAATGTCGCCATTGGCAGGGGAATTGAACGGGTCAGGACTTGACGAAAGTACAATTCCAGAGGCCAATAATGAGAGGGGAGCAAGGTATCAACGTCATTTCTGGTAGGCAAACGGAGGGGTCGGGGGTCTTTACAAAGTACGATCCCAAGGCTGAGGGTGTCTGGGGTAAGGGGAGGGGGCAGGGGCTTGTCAACGGTGAGTCTCTGGAGTTCAAGCACGACCCCTGAGGACTGAGTCAAATACGTTTTGATCAACAAGTGAGCTGGGTCGGGCTTTTTTCAAAAGTACGAAGCAGAGTGACAGGTATGTAGGAGGTGGTCAGGGTCAAACGCCGTTTTCGGTACACCAGAATCGAGAGTGCCGGGAGCCCTTTCAAAAGGATGAGTCCACAGGGCAGCGATGTCAGATGTGGAGTTGGTCAGGGTTGTTTTGGGCAGGAAGGCTGGATGGGATTCCGAAGAAAGATGCCCAGGGCATGGGAGCGCCAGGGAGATTTCGACCGAGAACGGGGGTTGGGGCGGCTCAGTGGGACGTGGCGAACCTCTCCCACACGTCCCCGGGGCGGGCAGACCGCTCCGCCTGTCTCCCCCCTGAGATCCGGCGTTGCGAGAAGCTGGGACGTCGCGAAACATCACGTCCAGAGCTCTAGACCCCGTCTTTCTGACGCGGTTCTTGAGCCGGGCCACTGCGTCACGGTCCCGTGGTCCGGTGCCGCGCGACAGCGACCGCCGTGAGGAAGCGCAGCGCCCGGGTCTCGGGGCCGCCCTGCGGCGCACGGCGCCGCCCGTGTGGTCGCGCCGCCGCCGCGGGTCTTCGGAGCGCGGCACCGGGCCGCCCAGTGGTGCTCGGGCGGGTGGTAGTTCACCGCCCACCAAACCACCCCAACCCAACCCGAAGGCCTCAATTTGCCCTCCATTTCGGGTGGGGGGGGGGTCGGAGAACAATGGAAAAAAACATATGGAACCCGTACCCCCCCCAACCCGAAATTGGGGTCTTCGGGTTGGGTTGGGGTGGTCTGGTAGGTGGTCAGTAGTGGGGGGTGGCCTGCATTGGGGGCAGAGAGAGGGGCCCCGAAGGGGTCTTCTGAGGGCCCCTCTGGAGAGCCAGCGGGGGCCCAAGAGGGACCCTCGAGGGCCCCTTCGGGGCCCATTTCCTCGCACCCCATTCGGGTCATCCCCCAGGACCACCCGCCCGACCATCGCCGCCCGTGGCGTCGCGCGGCCGCCGCGGCGCACGTCGCCGCCGCGGCGCGCGTCGCCGCCGCGGCCCGCCAGCGCACGCCGCCAGGCCGCCGCGGACCGCCGCCGCGCCGCCGTGCAGCGCCGTGGCTCGCGGCGGCCATCGCCCCGCGGCAGGCGCACCGCGAGTCGCTGTGCAGCAGCGACGGCCACCGGGCCTCCACGTCGAGGGCTTCCGCCAAGAGCGGCCGCGGGTGGGTTCGGCCACGCGCAGAGGGGGGCAGGGGGAGGGGGGAAAGGCTTTTTCGGAGGAGACTGCTTTGCAGAAGGCGTGGGCCTTATCCATGAATGTGAGGCTGGCGCCTTCTAAGAAGCGGCCTCCTTCTAAGAAGCCTTCCCCGTCCCCTTTCCCCTTGTGCGCGCCGCCAATGTACGATCGAAATGGGTATGGAAGGACCGGGCACAAAGGCCGACAGCATTTCCTGCCCATTTTGAGTAAGGCTCACTGTCGGTGTCGCCACGGACGTTGTACACTGAAGATAAAGGCAGCGGCCGCTGCCGGTTTGGGACAACATTAGCTGTTGGGCATCGTACCCAATTGTTCCGTACCCATTCCGGTCGTCCCCAGCGGGTGGGATGTCGATGGTCTTCGGGACGTGTGTTAGCCCAGTGTGCGTCTGCCCAGTTCAGCTCGGCCAGTAGCATTCTAGGCCTCCTCGAGTGGAGTGGGTCGAAGGATCGCTCAGCATCGCTGATGCATCGACGATGCGGCTCGATGTGGAAGCATAATTTCCCCACGTCAGTGGCGCTGATGCGTCGCCAACATCGCCGATGCATCGCCGATGGGTGCACCTTTCGCTTTGCGATCGGCTCCGCGTCGGGTTGGCAATCCAGCTATCTGCCCGTCTCCTCTATCGAACCATGCACCTGTACTGCGAATTAGCGAGCTGTGTAGCTGACCATGTGACAGCTCATCTGATTCACAGACTGCCTCATCATCTACATGTGGATGACTGTTGATGGCGAGCATGATGCGTGTGCTGATTCTGTTGGTGCAGATCCATCCGATGGAATCAACATTCTGGTATGCTCGGTTGATACCATCGATAACTGCAATGGTTCGATCGGATCCTGTCGACCGACATCCCCTCGGACGTTTTTCGCCGCGACGGATACGAAGACCCCGTTGTATTGTCCCACCTTCGCGGTGCACTGTAGCCGCCCTGGACTTTGACTGCTTGCGGGAGGACAGAAACGCCAATGCTTGCTGAGGGTGTTTTTGGCTTCTCTTCGACCCAGATGTCTTCTCTCGTTGTTCTAGGCTTTTGGGGGGTGGCCTTGGCGGCATCTTTTTGTCGGCGTTGGGTGGTTTGGTCGATCAGCGTACCCCTCTCCACCGCAGGTCAACATATTGGAAAGAGCGTGTTCTACCGCTGCTGGCGGAAAACCGGGGGGGGTCACTACCGGTTCGAACCCCTCCCCCCCCCCCCCCCCCCCTCCGGAA